GGGGATCCTACAGCCACTCCATCAATTTAGTCATATAGTTTCCAGTTGGTCCTAGTGGGGATCCTACAGCCACTCCATCAATTTAGTCATATAGTTTTCGAGTTGGTCCCAATGGGGATCCTACAGCCACTCCATCAATTTAGTCATATAGTTTTCCAGTTGGTCCCACTGGGGATCCTACAGCCACTCCATCAATTTAGTCATATAGTTTTCCAGTTGGTCCCACTGGGGATCCTACAGCCACTCCATCAGTTTGGTCATATAGTCTTCCAGTTGATCCCAGTGGGGATCCCATAGCCACTCCATCAATTTGGTCATATAGTTTCTAGTTGGTTCTAGTGGGGATCCTACAGCCACTCCAACAATTTGGTCATATAGTTTTCCAGTTGTCCCACTGGGGATCCTATAGCCACTCCATCAATTTGGTCATATAGTTTCTAGTTGGTCCTAGTGGGGATCCTACAGCCATTCCATCGATTTTGTCATATAGTTTTCCAGTTGGTCCCAGTGGGTATCCTACAGCCACTCCATTAATTTGGTCATATAGTTTTCCAGTTGGTCCTAGTGAGGATCTTACAGCCACTCCATCAATTCGGAACAATACAACATGCTAGCTTCGGCTAAAGCCCCCATTACTTCAGACGACGACTTGGACTCTTCCTTATCAACTATTTCAACTATCACAGCCACATCACACAATTCATCAAAAACCAACTAACATAGCCTCTCAACTCCAGAAGAACACAGATTCTACCCCAACTTCGAAGCATCCACCAGCCATTGTTGTTGAAAGAATACCAGCAACCCTCAAACATCTACAAGTAGCTTCAGAACTCCGCCGCCTATTTCCTGACATCATTTTGAGCAACGTCCGCCGACTACCCCGGGAAGGCACAGTCATCAAGTGCAACTACTACAAAGACTACATGAAACCATGGCCCACGGATACATTCAATGGATGCCCCATCAAACCACACGTCCCGACAGACAACGAGCCCAGGAAAACCGTAATCATCCGAGACATTCCACTTGACACAACCGACCTGGAGATCGAAGAACTCCACTACAGAGAAATCAAGTTCCTCAACTTCTCTCCTGTCAAGTCTTCGAGAACCCAGGAATACACACCACTAATCCGGATCACACTAACAGACGCCAAGCAAGCCACACAGGTGCTCCAAGACGTCATCACATTTTGGTTCAGAAGACTCAAGATGGAAGAAAAAAGCCCTCCAGTTCTCCAGTGCTACAACTGCCAGCGTTTCAGCCACAC